TGTTCCTAGTCAATCGTCTCGTATACTCCTTCTTTTGTCTCGTTCATCTTTAAACCTTGTTGAGAAGTTTTTTTTAACTCAAGCACTGCACTGTCTACGATTCTCTTCTCCCCTACTGAGCTAGGTTTCGCCTTTTGAGGGGAAACATTTTTATAGGTACCAGTCGATAACGTAGGGTCGTTTGTAGGTTGAGCGGGGACTGGTTTTGAATCAGCCCTGACGTTAATGTAGTGGGGAGTCATTTTGATTTCATCATCTTTTAGGTCTGTAGRAGCTGCTTGCTCGGACGAGATTGAAGATTGAAATCTGTTGAGAATAATAAGCTTAAAATTAAARCATATGCCACAGGTCCCCTATCTGTCAATCACCGCTCCGACCCATATCCATATATGGTATATAGCGCTGATATGCCAGTTGTATAGATCATCTTTATACAAATGACGTTGAATATCGGAATTTATACGAAAATATACTTGACATTTGTTGATGATTGGCCAAGCTGTGTATCGTTTGTCACTATGTGCTTTCATTACATTTCCATTTCATTACATCAAACCATTTCCATCTACTTACATGTATTTTCATGGATGATTTTTAGGAGATGAAGTACATGTAAAATAAAACAAATCATCAAATTATTGACGCAGTAAAGTTARGCAACTTACAACATGAGCGATCGTGTTGTATTGGAATTATTACTTATCCCACATGGAAAGCTAGCCATCTRKTGGATAAGGGAATGCTGCTGTCTGTCTTTGCTTGTTTCAAAAMCTAGTGAAGGTCTATGATGTATAGTTTAAAACTGAGACCTTTGCTAGTGTTGGGTTGTCTCAATGGTGACGAACGTGTTGAAAATCTGATACAGCACTAGTCTTGTATCAGATTTTTCAAGGTCAATCACCTGACCAAATAGATAGCTCTTATTGGATAAATAGATCATGAATTATTAATGCTTTTTATAATAACAATTGCATTCCTCATACTTTTGTTGGAAAATCTCGGAAACTTATTTGTAAAACAATGAGCGACATATGTGACATAATTCTTGTAAAGACACAACCATTTGAGCTTTGAGAAGAGAGAGGGTTATCATGCAACCTCTGATTTTGAGCTGTCAATCAAAATCAAAGAAWAATTACTAGGAAGCTTTTTTTCCTTTTCTTTAAAGTAGAAATACATTTACCTTTCTTCTTCTTTTTACAGTAGTATACCCCTGCTACTAACGTACAGACATATAGAAATAGGAGAACTGACAGGGCGACTACCAGGTATGTCGTTGGACAATCGTTTTGAGGTTGGTTATGTCCTGCAAAGTGAGGCATTGCAAAAACAATGGTTAGAACCCAATAYATAAAACAGTAAAGTATAATAAATGATCATTTCAAGTAACATTAGAAATTATTATTTAATTATTAATTTATAATGAGTATTATTCATCGGCACCCGTTATTTTTCACTCTGTTAAATTWAAACTTGCGATGTTGCACGCATTAAACCATGATCAGTACCTTGTGTAGAAGCATGTTGATATCCCTGAGTAGTATGAGATGTACTAGTCGTGCCTGTATAGCGATGGTGTCCAATAGTTGTCCATGGTGTTGTCTTAGTTAGTGTGGAAGTTGTCGATGTTGTTCTCATCTTAGTGTTCAGATCATCACGTCCTACGTTTGTCGATGTTGTTTTCATACGTTTTTGGGTTGTTGATGCATGAGTTGTCATTTGCATGTTCGTCGTAGATTGAGTTCCTAAAAGAATACACCCTTTTAATAAGTTCCGAGGTATTACGTTCTCCGCACTTGACGTCAAATTTATTCTTTTGAATTTCTTTTGTATTGTAAAAATTTCAAAAGAATAAATTTGACGTCAAGTGCGGAAAGAAAAATACCTCGGGACTTAAAAGGGTGTATAGAGTGGATTTCGTATGAATGCAACGACGTCGGATCACGAGGCAAACCACACGAAAAGCTCGCCGAACCTCGCCTTGAAGTGACACCAAATAGAATAATGATTTAAGAATACATCACCTGTSGTTTTTAAAGCCGATGATGTTGTCTGTAATTTACATTCCTCGGAATTGACTACATAAAATATTATTGATGGATATTAGTAATAATTACATGTCCTTTTTCATTTTCTATAAAAAGAGACTTACTTGTTTGTGTAGACTTAAGATTTTTAACACTTAGCTTGACCAAAMAAATGTGATGGGCTTTGCTTATTATGTGTGAATGTTTCCTTATTCATGGGGGGTACTTACCGTTTGAATATTCGCATATATATGACAGTCTTTTGTAGCCKTGTACATTATCATACAGTCCCATATTTCCCCACATTTTCACATAAACTGCATTCCTTKCCTTGATGCYGTMGGGTTSACCTYTGTGCCACGGCCAATCTCCAATTATATTGTTCCAAATCAATAATTTCCCATCTATCCATTTCCATTCCCCTCCTTCGTATTTTAGACCAATATTCCATTCTGTGTTTGTTACATTGAGAGTTTGTATTGTTTTCACTATAAATTCCCACTCATTTCTGGTCCCAATGCATACCAGTCTACCATTGTCTTTTCGACACTCTTCAAAACTGTTCGTCCAGTTCTTTSTGAGGTTCTTGTTATAGATAAACTTATACTTTGAGCAGTTAAACACATCTTCATGACCTAAAGATCAATCGATATTTTTACACCACACATTTAGACATCAAGCAATATAAAATATGTTAACACCATTGCACCCTTTCATTAACTTTTCACACATTTTTTGAGTCACATTAGCTGCGAGAACATGCGCAACACAACATTTCTTTCTGAAAAGATTTGATGGAGCAGCAGTGTCTGCAATTCTGGATCCCAGCTTACCTTGGTTACCTCGGCTTGCGAGACAAGGTGCTGATAGAATTGCACATTAACGATGCGATATTTCAGCAGATTTATGAATTTTTCGAAAATCTAAGACTGTCATGCCAAAGAAATCAAAATTAGAGTAATCGCACGCGACAGGGATCCCGCCAACTTACGCCTCTTGGAAGCCTTATATATAAAATCTTTAACGCCCACCATCAATTCACGCGACGAACACAAAGAACTACAAGATTTGTTATTCTAATTGACTATGTTCCCTTTTGTTCGCTCGTTGCCCTTTGTTCGCCCTTTGACTATCCATCGGTACGCTTGACCGCTTCGCCTTATATTTTACGTGTTTATTCTATCTCGCTCATTCCCTGATGATGCTAGCTGTAGACAGCGAAAGCTCGGAATCATATTTTTGTTGTAAACTCGATCTACACACTTAGCGGCTTCGGCTACATTTTGTATTTTCCACATCACTCAACTATGCTGCTAAAGGATAACTTTCAACGTCATGCCGTTATTTAAGTATACTTACCTTTAACGTGAGACGAGGAGAAAATCAACTTGAGAAGRAAGACTGCGTTCAAGGTTAATGTTTTGGTAATCATGTCAAGATTATTTGCTTAGAATTACAACTGAAAATGATRACAAGCATCAAAACAATTACTTCTATAATGGTTGTCTTTTTAAAGTTGTTGCCGACGTTCCGAGACTTTGTTCTTGCAGATATTTTGGCAGCTTTTGGCATGTACAGAACACAATATACTCCTTAATTTTATGGTATTAATCAGTGCTGGAGTGATTTGTGTAAAAATACTGAATACCAATGCTAAACAAGCGGCGGTGAGATGATGACAATGTGAGCAATGATCGTACATATACAGATGTTTTATATTCTTCTTTCAAATCGTTCAGTGGTTTAAACCTGATTTTAATGTCACCATAATATGCATCGTGCATCTCTTAAAGCAAGGTAACAGCTATCTGTCTCTGTCATGCTGTTGCTTTTACAATAGTTGCTGATTATTTTTGCTTTCTAACTTGATGAGCTGCCTATTCAACACCTGACATCGCTGTTCTAGCATTCTTTGTTTAGCAACAGTTGTGGTTGTTTATGTGTTTAACCACTGTTACTACGTATCACAATGAACTGAAACCTCTATACCAGTCAAAATATTTATTTATTAGCATTCTGATATATAGTTTCTGTAGTGGTCAATATAATTTACCTAGTATTATGGTTAATTTTTTATCCTTTGACTTGTTTGACTTCAAATGTCTTGTGATAAATTATTATTAATCGTTTTCAACCATTTCCRTGAGATTCAAAAGATTAAAGACTGACGGCCATGTTGGAGGAATGAACAATAGATACTAATGAGAAATCCTCGTTGAAGCTCAACCAAGATGGCCGCTGTGACGTATAGTTAAAAGGAAGAAATACTAAAATGTATACATTCTAGCAACGAGAGTATTGTGCGTCGGTTTTTATTTATTTCATGTTAAGATAACAATAATAGTAATCCCAGACGATTCCAGGTCAAGTCTCTGTGGTATAAGAGATGAGTAATTCTTGGTTTCCCTGTGGAAAATTGGAAATTAGAATAAATGAACAAAGCTTTTCCTTAAAGGATGAAACAATTTGAATATGAATAAGGACACTGGTGAAAAACGCACTGCGCATGGCCACAGCTTTCCCGCCAGTGGGCGCTCGCGTCTTGAAATCTGTAAACAGAGCGCCTGGCGTTTTAGAGCGACAACACAGAAAACACTACGAAAAACCTCATTTTCTCAAAATAGAAATGACAAGATAAAAATAGAAACTACATACTAAAAGGACCTGTCATGAACAATGATTGATGGAAATATGAATCTTATATATCTGTGAACGAGCTTATAAATTGTAAAAACTTTCACAAAAATCGCTTTACAAAGGAAATTGGGCAGATTTCAGCGGGAAAGCTGTGGACATGCGCAGTGCGTTTTTCACCAGTGTCATGAATAAGAACAATATTTTCAGCTTGTACCCTGAAAATAAAAAAAATGGCATTCAAGTTTTTTTGGCGATGATGTTGCA